CGTTCAAAAGGGTGCTAGCGTACTTTAGAGACGATCTCATAATCTTAGCTCAGACAAACAAAGGATGCAAAACAATTCAATATATCGAAGAGAAAAGGCACAATAATGTACAATTAGTAAAAATCCACAGGTGAATGGAGAGCTACAAAAATGGCGGCTCAAATTCAAAAGCCCGCCGACTGCGTGTAAGTAGGAGGCAGTTTTATGTCCTTCGAATTATTCCTCCGGGACCCAGTCCTGGTGTACCTTCCCATAGGAGCGCCTCCGAATTCATTTGCACAGTTATCCTTGTTTTGTGAATTTGGTTTTGCAGGGGGCAGATTCTCCCGCCTCGTTTCGGGCGACTTTGCAGGTCAGCAGAGCTACCCTTCTTGCCGATTGTCCGTCCGCCTAACTAAAATAGGTTGGCTATTCCAGGCTGCAAAATTGCATACAGCCACTCAGGTGGAAGGTGCCTGAAGGTCGGCGATACAGTCTCGGTTAATTTTGGACTGTTGGTTGCCCCCTCCCCCCCCCCATAGCCACGCCAGTTGACTGGAGGGGATATTCACGCAAACAATCTGGGTTCTTACTTGACAGTTTGACCGTCGCAAACGACGGCCGAGAGGGCACAGTACTGGCGACTTGCAAGTGAACTAGTTTTTAATAGGACGGGCTTGCGTAGCTTCCACTGCACTCTCTCTTCACTAGCCCATCAGGTTACAACGACAATGCACTGTCAAGACGACTGGAGATCAACGCAGGTGCACTGGCTGACAAAGCTAAACGGTCCGCCTGTATGTCTCGCACACGATCTGGTCGCCGCACAGTGTACCAGGTTTTTAACGGAGGAGTAGTCGGATCTGGTATTCTTGACACCGCCCTGGGGGGCGCAGTAAGAAGGAACCATTGGGCTTGACTTTCGTTCCGCCAGACAGCACTCCGCACACACACAAACCGTACTGGCCACAGAGGTCAAGTCACCCCCGTCACTTTGCGGTCACTCAAGCAAAGAAATTTGGCGTGTCGTGCTGGATTCAAGTGCGCCAGATTTATTATGGTGAAGAGTGCGTTGAAGAACCGCGAGGATGGATTCCTCGGTGTCGGCCTCACTCTCCCCTCCCCAAGCTCACGCTGACTGTCAAAGCCTGTTAACCAGCTGATCTAGACGGCCCGTCTACGCGTCTCACACACGACCCGGTTTTCATGTGGTGTATCAAAATATTTGAACGAGCATACTTCCCGCCTACTTGAGTTATTCATGTCCTGAGATGTAACGTTGCACCGGTCGTAGTGGTGGCGAGACGGATAACATGCCTGCTTCTAGACAGGGGTACGGATATTATGGGGTGCGACGCGTGCTGTTGAGTGGGTTCATGTGTGACTTATGGATGTGTGGGCAGGTAGGTCAAGGTGAAATGATGGGACGTAGAGGGCGGTTTCGTAGAAGACGCGCATGGAGGCGCGTGTGGCCGAATATCTTTGGGCGGTGTGGATATGTAAAGGGAGTGCGACAAATCTTCCGGCGCTGGTGAGCCATGTGGTGGATTCGCAAGTATCCGACCAGCACGATGCGTGATGCAAAAGTGTTGCTGTAATGAGGACAAGATAGGACTGTGACTGCCGACTTGGTGCTGGTGCGGTTGGCAGTGTTGATGGCAAAGGATTTCTCAGGCGCAGAAGGGCGGTTTGTCGTGATGGCATTGCGATGATTTGCGCTGTCATGGACAGGCATATGGCCGACTAGGCCCATGCAGTAACTGAACGTCCTGAAGCGTGTGTGGCAGGTACACGTCGAGGTTAGAGACACTGATTCATCGGTCTTACTGCGATGGATTAACAAGTGACCAATCAGGCCTGTGCGTGATGAGAAAGTGCGGTCACAATTGGGTCAGACTGAAATGGAGTCCATGCGTCCTGGTCTGCTAGGGAGCTTGCAACGTTTCCCTAAACTGGGCTGCTCAGACTACCAGTAAGCTGACAAATTCCACTGCAGTTCACTGCATTGTAACGTGAAGAAGATGCAAGTTAGCCTGGGGGATTTGAGGCCTGTACAGTAGATGCGCATGTCGGAAACGTTGGCCGTGCTGAGTATGTGACTGAGTTGCCCTGCAACCAGCTACCGGTGATAGCCAAAAAACCAGACGCACGCTTCCCGGCTTCTGTGCCGCTGCATGACGCAGCTCACAGAGATTCGCTTAATCAGTTTGGTCCTTATGTATGTACTTTCTCATGTGCATTCCAATATCTAATAATATTATCGAGGGACCTTAAGCCATGAGGAGACTCTAGCTTCTACGACCTCCAGGCCCGGTTCCGAATAGGAAGAGAAAGATTTAGACGCCATTTGAAAGGATACTGTATTCCGTACAGAAAGATTGGAGAACATGCTGGGGCAAGTTGGCAGCTGGAGAAGGGGACGCGTCCGGCCCCAGGGGCGGCGTCGCGAGTCCGAGTGCGGAGTGTGTCATGGCGCCTTGAGCAAGAGCACATCTGAGTCGACCTGGAAGAAGTTTAACCGACTAGGGCAACCGTGAACGGCCGAGAACCAGGCTTCAACTGGTGTTCACGTGCAGGTACTCGCGAGAGGCACATCTCTAAAATAGGTGCCCGAAGTAGAGCCGCTACACTAGCAGTTTCATTTGCATGCATGGGACACCAACCTACATTAGCAGCATCTGCCTCAACTGCCCTCAACACCCCCGCACGTCCATAGGCCATATGTGCATCCACTAAAACCTGTGGTAGGCAACCCCCGGCTACAACACATCATCACAACTTCACTCACAAGAACCCGACGGCTAGAGCGCCGATTCCGTCAATGTCCATCGTGTACTACACTGCATAGTGCAGCGGGCACGGCGAATTGCGCGTGAATCAATTTATTGTCATAGTAAACTTCCACAGCATCTACCGTACGCTCTCTTCCACACTTCCTCCCTGGACCCGATGTCAAGACAGACACAAAAAGACCGGAGGCGGGGGAGGGCGCAGGTTGCTGGTATGGTCGGACTCGCATTTAGGAGTGCCACCACATCCCCTGGTCCACAACATATACCTGGCCAGGATTTTCCATCATCAACAACAACAACAACACCCCAGCAGGCATCAGAAGGACGAGGATGATGCTTGGGCAGCCATTACCGTCACCTGTATACCAACCAGGAGCGCAAGCGCATCTACCGGCAGGGAAGCAGGTGTCAGGGAACTGCCAGCGCATACCAGACCGTAAGGGCCACTGACACTGACATAGCACACGCTTTCAGACCTTTTGATCTAGAAGGGTGACACATGGTCCTGCATCTAATCTGGGCCGTCACCCTTCAAGGTTTGGTAACCAAACAGTCATCGACTGAGAGGCACTACCCACAAAGCACACACAAGCCCAAGCATTCTCCTCACACACATGAGTGTCACAGATCGGTTGAGAAGGGGCCGTGACAGCCTGGCTCTCAGCTCACAAGTCCTCCACTCCACACAATGTGACAGTTCGACCATCGGTTTCTATGATTTCCACCGTGTGCCCCACAGTTGCAGCAGCAATGGGAGCAGGGACGGTGACTTGCGTAGGGGTTTATAGTGCCCGTAGACTTGCGCTGCATATACCTACACTCTCTCCTCCTCCCTCCCCCGAGCCCGGTGTCAAGACAGAGTCAAGAAGACCGGAGACGAGAGAGGCCGCAGGTGGATAGCTCGGACGGATCCTCACTTTGGCGGTCCACTACACCCCCTGGTCCACACAACAAATAACCAGGATTTCAACCAACACAAGAGAGAATTGGAGGCTGGCAAGGCCGAAGCCGCACCTGGGCGTGCCGCCAACGCCTGGCTCGGATCCCACACTGTGATGGAAGTGCCATAAAGGCCACATTAAAAAGGAGCCATTGCAGCCTGACTCTCAGACCGCCTCCGGTCAAGGAGAAGGTCCAAGTTACCCCGTCAGTTGGCAACCTTCCAAGCCACGGCTTTTAGCGCACCGTGATAGCTTCAAGCGCGTCAGATTGTTTATAGTGAGGAAAGTGCGCTGAGTCGTCGAACTCACTCTCCCTTCCCACTCCCACACCCCAGCCGCTGTCCGAGCCGGTCATCAGACTGGGGTGGGGAATGGGCGCGGTGGCTGTCATGGTCGACTGACCATGACTGCGCG